AAAAGTTGTCAGCAGGACCAAAACCACAACCTGAGACAGAGCAGCTGCACAAGGCACCAGCCACCAGTGCATAAACAAAACCAGGCTCTGTAACGCTTGGCTCGCCTTGTGCTTTGCCAAAGCAGATGCTGAAACTCAGCTCCTCCATCCCCATGGAGCAGATCCTGAAGGACCTCAACACCTGTCTGCAGCTTCCCAGACACTGTGAAAGGTAGATGCTCCAGGCAGATCTCTGAGTCTTCCAGGACCACAAGGTCTGAAGTTGAACCCAGCAGTGCCTGCGTTCACAGGGCAGCCATGAGCAGAGAGGCTGGTTCGGTCTCCCAAGTGGAGTTCCCCCATCTGTCAGCATCTCTCTGTTATTCCATAGGCAAGCATGCAGCAAAGGCACGCTGTCCCCTGAAGACCTGCTCTCTTCCACTGCCAGGGCTCACCTTCCATCCCAAAGTCCTCTGCATCCTCCGTGGGCATTTGCCAAGCATTGGCTCATAGGTAGGTGGGAGCAAGGAAGGATGGTCTGTGAGGTCTACAGAGCCTCACTGGTGTGCATGTGAGACTTTGGGGACAAAATGCACTTCCACCAGACACAAGACCATCCCAAAGATCGACTCTGCTCCATAACCAAATGCAAAGCTTGTCCCAGTTCTAATATTGCTTTTAATGAAAAGACAAAAAAACTGATATGGCAGCAAAACCTCTGCTTCTGGGAGGTCTGGGAAATTCCCCTCAGGCTCAGCCCACACAGATTATTTCAGGAGCTATTTGAATACCAAGGGGCCGACAGCCCAGGATTAAGTTTACAGCACGTGTTTATACAACAGTGGGTCAGTCCTGAGTGTGCTGGGGCGAACATGCACATGCTGCCATGTCCCAACTGCTCCCCTACCCTGAACACCATCCTGCTGCAAGTGCTGCCGCCCAGGGACCACACGGGGTCCCCTGCCTGGGTTGGAGCCTGACAAGCCTGCACAAAGTCCCAGGCACAGGCAGGCCATTGGGCAGAGCAGCATGCAAGCACGGCAGCCACATTGCCCAGGCAGGGTCCTGTGGTGTGGATGGAGCAGGTTTCTGGCAGCACCCTTCCAGCAACTCACTTTTCTGATCCCTGGGAGCAAAACATAGGAGCTACGAATTATTAAAGGTCTTCAGTCCTCCTCTGCTAGCTCCCAGACTGCTGTACTAGAGGTGCAAGATAAAAATACATCTTCATGATAGAAGAGCAGCTAAAGGGTGCTGTCCTCTACTCAGAGGTCTGGTTTAATGGTTTGATATTTCCCCACAAAAAGGAAAATTGATCACAACTGCTGCCTAATAATAGACTTTGCTATCAGTGTCTAGGCTGCACCTAAGCTGTGGGGCCAGAGGAAACAAGTTAAAAATCAGAGAATGGCCCACTGTCCTCCATGCAGATGCCTGCCACCAAATCCAGCCTGATCCTGCACACAGGATCAACCCACCGGGGCCAAGAGGCTGCTCTCGTATAAACCATAATCCCTGTGGGGGTCTTCCCCATGACCTTCACCAGTTTTCTATCCAAGCCACCCAAGGAACCCCAAAGATGACCCGCTCTTGGCTGCAGACATCTCAGGCTGGCCTCCCGCCTGGTGTCCCCCAGCTTTGTCTCTCCATAAATAGTCCTGTGCAGCCCCTCGGGTCAGCAATTCAGCAGAACTGCCACAGCGCATCAGCCTGACAGAGCGGAGATGAGTCAGAGAGCTGCTGCAGCATCCTCCCTGCCGTGCGGCATCCTCCCCTCCTGCCTGGCTACCCTGGGGAAGGGCAAGGCAGGAACTGGGCAAGCTCAGCATTGGGGAAAAGGTGACCTTCTCAACAGAGCACTTGACTTCACGTTGGGCAGGGAGACAAGGTGCAGTCTTCACCCTCATGGTGTAACTGGTGACAGGCATTTGTAGGGGGGCAGGGGGAAGAAAAAAGGACTGGCTTTCCTGGGCTCCCTCACTCCAGCCACCAGCATCGCCTTTGCCACTGGCAGCTGTGGAAGGAGGAAGGTGAGGAGAGGGAAGTTGGTCACCTGAAAGAAGCAAGGCTTGCACATTTCTCCTGCTATTTCTTCAAAGAAAAAAAAAAAAAACCTAAAAAAATTAATCAGGACCTGCAGGCTATTTTGTCACAAAAAGCCTTTTAGTAGAGTGGAAAAAAAATCTCTCCCTGCCTGGCCCCATCTTCAAGGAATGAGCTCCCTGCTTGCATCTACCTCTCCACAGGTGAAGGATGGTTTCTGTACCATGGTGCATGGTCCATGGTGCGTGGTCCTCACGCACAGGTACCCACTTTGCTCACCAGGTCTCTGCTGCCTGGTCCTTTGCTGTCAGCCCCTGGGAGCAGGAGGGGGGGCGGGCCAACAGGGGTGGGTTTCCTCCCTCCAACTCAAGGACCCCCCTCAGCGCCCAGCCTGTGAAGCTGATTCACATGATGCTGAAGGGACACCTCACCGACTACCAGGTTTGCCAGTGAACTCCTGAACCTACCAGGGCTTTGTAGACCTGAAAAAAATCTCTGCACCAACAAGTGGGTATTAACATTTTTGAGAGGATATCTCCCAGCCCCCTTCCCTCCACACAGAAAAACTTCTAAGTGGCAGCAGGGTTTCACACTAGCTGCTGACTGCAAAGGAAGAAAACGAGACAACTTGGTCCCAAGCCCACTCCAGGTCTTGATGCAGGAGAAGCAGCAGAAGGAAACCCAACTGCTTCATGGTTCTTCAAGAGCAGCGAGGGGTCATGTCTTCCCTCCGTGACATTATTTAAAGGAGGCAAGAAAACACTGAACTCAGCTGCAAGTGATGGTAGGAATATCTGCATGGCAATTATTAGTCTGAGCAGGTCTTGCAGGGAAGAGAGAGAAAAGGGATTTTGGTAATGGTGCTCCCTGCAGGCATTCTGCTGTAGGGCTCAATGCCCCAGTGCGTATCAGTCACTCTCCAGGGGAAGGGGAGATTGGTTGATTTACTTATTAATGAAATTGCCTTCTATCCACCTCTCTCTTTCTGTCATTTGTGCCAATTCTCTGAAAAGCAGGTCTTCCACTCACACAGCAGCAAAAACCTTACTATCAGAGATCTCCAGATCTTCCTTTTCCACCCACCTCTCTGGCTCCGAGATGCTCATGGGCAGAGGGACCTGCAGTTCTGCTGCTTGGTACGCACACCCTCACATTAAAGAACCACCCAAAATTGTTTTCCTGCACTCTATTACAAAGAAGAAACAAAATATTGGAAATTTAGAAAAAAAAAACTTCTTTGGGTTTCTTTTGAATAAACTGAGGTTGTTTCATTTTTAATCTAAACTTTTAATCTAGAAGAGTCATTTAAACAGAAATTCGTATCCCCCCAGTCAGAATTATATTTTCCTTTTAAAACAAATGAATAAAGGGTTTCTCCCACCATAAGAAGTTTTGCTGATGAGCATACACAGGTAGAAGGCAGCTGATGCCTGCCACCATCCACTGGCAACATAAGAGTAAGCAAGTTCCCTTCCCTTCCCTACTGCAGCAGCCTGAGGTTGCCCATATCAGACATCACCCATCTCCCTCCTCCCTTGGCTTGTCAGGGTCTCCCCCTGCTAACAAGGATTTGCATTGCCTGCCACCCTCCCCAGTGGCACTGCTGGGAAGATCCTCCAAGACCTGACACATCCACCCATGAGAGCAAGTGCCCCCACCCAAAAAAGCCACGGAAGAGCCCAGCTCCCTCCCTCTATCACAACACATCAATTCTGCAATGCTCAAGTGAAACCAGCACAAGAGCTTTTACTTCCACTGGTAGGAACCCCACAGGTGACACAGCCGCAGCTCAGCAGGAGCATACAATGCAGAGAACAATGGCATGATGCTAGGGGGACAAAATTTAGCCCAAATGCCTTCTTGATTGCCACGCTCAAACCAGTGGAAAACTAAATTGCTGTTGTGAAGGCAGGCAAAGCACTGCAATCCCCCTCTGGCTTCTCCAGTGGCACCTATGTTGTCAGTATGCCAAATCTGATCTGATGCCAAACCACATGTTTTACAGCAAGCTTACACATCTCCAACTATTTTGAGAAGCAAAGAACAGGAACATGCACTTAGTAAAGCGTATCCCATTCTGAGATTATTTTTTTTTTTTTTACTGTCCAGCATGAACATGAGCCAACACAAGATTATTCCACTTCTACATACAAGTAAGACTTAGCAAACATAGCCAGAAGCTCCTCTGATACGGAGTATTTTAAATGCATTAGAAGGCAAGAGCATCAAGGAAACTGAGAGAAGCAGGCAGAGATCTGCTGAAACCAGGCAGCAGAGCAGTCTCCTCCTTGATTTGCCGAACCATCAGTTCATTTCCCAACACTGAGCTGTACAGTGCCCATTTTCTAGCAACTGGCAAATACTACTTGAGTTTCCCTTTGCTTATTCATAATGGATGCTATGGTTTTACTTACCATTTCATAATACCCGCCACAGCTCCCTGTTGACACAAATTTCATTAAATAGATTAATTATTCATCCCTTGCCTGAACGGTGTGGATACACCACCTTCTGTGAGCACGCATGGTGAATAATGGATGTCTTGTTAAAAGATCTAATTGCACTTTTAAAAGCAAGGATGCTTTGACTACACGTAGCTTTCTGTTGCGCCACCAGAGGCACTTGAGTCTCAAAGGGAGAAGCACGTGCAGAGGTTTAAACAAGGACAAAGAGGACAAGGACCTGCCAAGGCTTTCCCTTCTTCTTCCAGCATCAATAGCAGTTTGAACCCTCCTGCTCCCACCACTCATCCCTCAGGAGCTTAAGGGGTGCGTCATCCCAGCTCAAAGCCTTAACCTGGAGTTTCTTGCCAGCTCTGCTCCTGTGCTTGCATTTGCAGGAGCCTTGAGAGACCCTGGCTGCTTGTAGGCAGCAGAGCAGGCAGCCACCGAGAGCCCACTGTAAACCACAGGGACCTCCGACAGCTTCCTACCAGCTACTCTCATGAGACCCAGAAAGAAGTATTTGGCAAAGAAAGCACGCAGCAGGAAAATTGCCTACCTAAGGGAAGTCACAAGACTTTCCCAGCTTAAATTGCTCCTCCAGGGTCAGCTCATTACCTATGCAATTAAGAGAGCAGATTGATCACAGGACTAGACTTTATTTTCTTAAACTGTCCCTTAGGCTTTATGGCTACAGCTATTTGCAGCATGTGGCCCAACAGTTCATAAGGTGGGAGAGTAGACAAAGTGAACAAATGAGCAACATTAGCCATCTAAAAACCACCACACATCTATAAATGCATGTCTCAATCTCACACCCTCACCTGAGGTTTCAGGGGCACAGTTGTATGGTCTATAACAACGTAACGATTTAAAGCACTTTTCCAGTCTGACACAACTGCCATCGCACAGCTCTAGCAATAACTGTCTGGATTTGTACCATAGTTTAAAGGGTTAGGTTCAGTTCTGAGGCTGCACACCAATCCTGCAGGTGCCATCTGAGATTTT